GTACAACATAATGCAAATTTTCTTTCATAAATAATAATTACGTATCTTCTTATTGCACTTACGATCACAGATTAGATAAGAGAAGCGATTATACGGATACCAAGGCGATGAAAAGCGTGTTCTATCTATAATCTTTGAAATGGTCTGGTAGGAATTTTTCACATAAACAATTTTTATTCAACGGAGTACAGAGGACAGCAACTTCCTATTTTCCTTGTTATAAAATTGTCACAGTTTCAACTTTGTAATGTTGTCATAAAGATCTCGGCCAGAGGCGTAACTTTGTGCAATTTTTGTTTCTCGAAATAATTGATATGATTTTCCAAGAATTTTCTTTTTGAAACAACCACACCAATTATCCGGCCTTAAACAAGGATAATCCAAGTACTATTAGTACCAGAGCCATTGACCTTATGACCAGAGCAACAAAATTAACCCCGGGCGCTATCCACAACATCCAGGCAAAACCCGATTCAGAAAAAAGTTCTCAGGTTTTTGCGATTGTTAAATGATATAACTATTTTTTTAGATCTGGATAGTCTGTCGTGACCATGGGACTCGTTAAGGGCCCGAAACGTTGGTTTGTTTTGTAATTGATGAATGAGAGTTAAAATTTAAAAGTGATATAAGGCTCAATTGCATGATGAGTTGCCAGGGATGGAAGGCCCTTATTTCGTCTCTATTTCTGATTATATACTCGATAATGGCATCTTACCGTTTTTTATATCTTATTTAGTATCAGTGTGTAAAGATAGTAATTATTACTATCATTACCTAGTTTGATTGTTAAGCAGATTCAGCGTAATTGACATTTTTTATTAGCAAAAAAAAACTTAAGATGCCAATACTTCGATAGTTACCGAAACATAAATGCGTTAGTACAAGGAGGGCAGTATCTTAAAGTGCACAAATAATAACCTCGAAATTGATATACGTTACTCGAAATAAAATGGTTCTAAAAAACGTATCATTCATTCTTCTGATTCTAGGGCAAACCCAAGTTATATTTTCAGATCATTACGTCACCGGTACAGAAATGACGAACAAACGGGTGTGACGTCAGTGTTCGGTAACAGGACGGGAACTTATTCATTTTCAAATGCACTCGGCTATTTTGATATTGGATCTCTTTCGCAACACGTACTCTATTTGATTTAACGACAAAGGTGAACAGGAATCAGAGACTATAGTATATAAAGTTTTAGTGGAATGTACGTTTACTTTACTACTAAATGATTATCACTCGTTGGTTTTCCTACCATTTGACTTTTCATATTTCTCGTTACGTCACAGAACAGTTTCTTTCTCTATGTTTGCGGGTTATTACACAATAAAAAATAATAATAAAAATATTTGTTTTTGTCAATAACCAGATTCACATGAGTATTTATTCGATAACTACAGGGGGCCTACCATAACCTTTCCAAAAACAATCTTATTTCAATGTAAGCTTAAAGTAAGCTTGTTATAATATTACTCATTATTCAACCAAGTAATTTATTATTGCTAAAAGCGATTGAAAGAACGAATGAGTTCCCAATATTATCTATTCCTTACTAAAAATAAGAAAGAAATAACGCTATATGAACTTATAATGCCATATCTTTCTTTTTTGATGTTCCGAATCATCTTATCGTAGTATAATGTTTAAGCACTTAATGTTAATTGCATTGAGAGAATTTTAACTGTTAAAAAAAGAAAAGTATGTAACAACAAAATCTATTAACAATTATATTTCCGCATTTTCATGAAGAAAATTGAATAAAACAAGCTGAGTCTTGATAATCACATTGTGAATTCGGAATTGTAGTCTACTGTCAAATGTTAATGTCGGCAAGGGCATATAGATGTCGCTGTCATAATTTTAAGAAACGCAGTAAAGTTCAAATTACTGCGTGGCGGCAGAAATGGATAAGGGGCCGGTACTTCCCTACTGGACGAACTCATTCATAAGGAGAGACATGAGTTTCGAAAGGAGAGTTCGTTGGGAAATACTGCCACCTTACCTATTTTTGCCCCCAAGCAGTAATGTCAGCATTACTGTATTCCGGTTCTGAAGGGTAAAGGTGCTGGTGAAATTACAGGCACATGAGACTTGTCAACTTATGTCTCAAGGTACCGGGCGCAGTGGTATTGTCCCCAAAATCTTTGCGATTTAAAACTCTGAGTGTCACTGCAACTGTCATGGACAGGCGTGTAGCTTACCATCAATCACACGCGACTTGATCGTCCCGTCATTTGATATTATAAAAAAAAACTCTTCTGCTACTCACAAAGAGTTCTTTTTCTCTTTTAGGAGAGGTACAAAACTTTAATAAGAACTGTGTTTTGTGCAATTTGAAGTATAATTGACTGTGCAGGTGCATGCGTGCGTGTGCGTTTGCGTGTGAGTTATAACTGGGCACTGGATGAGAAAATCACGGATTCGTTTACCGACAGAATCAATTGGGGAAACGAACTTTTCTAAATTGGTTCTGGTCTGGGTAATTCTGCATGGTGCCCCGAAGTGAATTCCATTGCTCTGGTACTCATAGTATACAGAATTTGAAAAGACAACTTGAAACAATATTACCTTTTTTATATAATAACTAAGTGACGGGAGAACAAGTCGTGCACTTGATGGTAAGCGACATGCCTGTCCAACATTACCATTACCATTTAGAGGTTTAAATCACAAAGATCTTAGGGGCACTGCCACTGCTCCCGATACCGTGAGATATAAGTCCCAGGTGCCTGTAATTTCACCAGCATTTTAACAGTAATTGCCTGAACGAACTGTTTGACAATGAGCTCTAGTACTACTCATTTATATTTGTGGTAATCATTAATATCTTTACAGCTGTAATGCTTAATACACATACTTGGCTTTGCCTAGGACACGTCTCCTCTAAAGAGAATACTATTCGAGGATTTATAATATTGAATTACGTAGATAAGGGATGACGTTTTACTTCTTCACGTGGAAGGTTTTAGTTGATTTAATCGAGTTCTTAGGTTTTTGTGATTGGTAGACATTAGAAACAAAACATTTTTGTTCTGATCTACTATCTCGTATATTTGTTTTTTCAAACAAACTAACGTTTTGGGCTCTTTACAGGCCCCACAGTCACGTCTATCAATGTAAATCAGAAACACAAATTTATATCCCAAAAAAGTACCTTACCACCACCAAGCAGCTTATCACCAAACAGTAACGTGAGCATTACTGCGTCCCGGTTTTGAAGAGGGTGCTGGTGAAATTACAAGCACATGAAACTTGTTAACTTATGTCTCTGAGTGACGGGCTCAGTGTCACTGCAACTGTAATGGACAAGCGTGTTGCTTACCACCCGGCGAAAGACTTGTATAGTTGACGAAATACTCGTATTGTTTGCACCGATTCCTCTTATCACTTCATCTTGAGAGTACAATACGACAAAGAAGTAAACTGTCTCGGTGCCATCTGTATACTGCATTACGCATTGGCACTTAATTCTCAACTTGATAATCTTTATGCGTTAATAACTTGTTGAATTAATAAGAAAAGAGTCAGGAGTCAGTATTTTATGAAGTATCTACTGTTAAAAAAATACGACCTGTTAAAATATAATTTAAAACTAGAACTCAGAAATAGCATTTAGCGCACACATAACATGACTGGTACGTTGGACCAAGATCGTTAAATCTGTGTACGCTTTATGTAAAAGAAGTGTTAATGGTTTTATTACCTATTTGTTTATTTATTTATTGAATAAGAAAAACGCGTAACATAACGGTATCTACCAAGGCGTCACAGCAATTTAGGAACAACAACAAAATAAAAACAAAATCAACCAAAATTAAAAATAAACTTTTAAAACAAAACATATCGTTACTAATCCAATCCATTCTGTTGTAATAGAAAGGATATGCCGTTCCAAGAGATAACATTCATCGGTGGAAATAATATTTCTTCAGTTATTATATTATGTATTGTCACGAGGTACCACAAAAAAAAATCATTCCAGGTTTTATGTACTAAACGTTTTCTACAAGGTTAACTAATAGATTAGGACCTTATATATTAAAATGCCATGTAACCGACCTTAACAATGAATTAATTTTTATTATTACCTATTCTAATTAAAGCATTGCATTCCATTGCACCAGCGGTAGTCGTCCATCCACGATAGGTAAACGATATCAGATGGCACGCCTGTACCAACTGGATATAGGGCGCACATGACAGGAATTTATGGATGGATGGCTTAAAAGCAAGCCTGTATGCGGTGGAGAATGATATAGAGACTGTGTTGATCGCATATTTAAGCTCCGTCTTACTAACTCATGTTTTATGATTCCATTATAGCCTGACCTATATTGTTTTTGGTTGTTTTTAATTGTACTTTTAATGATCGTTGACATTAGTAGCAGAAGAGCTTCTTGTGAACGAGTTCGTTCAGAGAAGTACTGCCACTTTACCTGTTTCTGCCGTCAATCAGCATCGCATTACTGCGTTCCGGTTTTGAGGCACATGGGACTTGTCAACTTATTTCTCAGGGTGACGGCCGCAGGGGCAGTGCCTCTCAGATCTTTGTGATTTAAAAATCTGGCGAGTGGAAACAGGCGTGTCGCTTGCCACCAAGCGCATAACTTGTTCGTCCCGTCACTTGTTATTATAAAAAAAAACAAAGATTCTATAAATTATCGTTCTATAACATGTTGAGGATATTAAAATTAAACTCGGTACCTTATGTTACGTAACTCACATTTTTTTTTTATAATTTTGAAGCTTACATCGAAATAGTCAATACATTCAAATAGTCAAATATAATATAAATTATATAAATTTCGAAAACCAATGACCATAAAGCATGATGCGAGAAATAACGGTACGATATATATCTATATCCTATGTATACGATATATAGCTAATATTGTATCTAATTAATGTTTTAAGCAGAATTCATGGTCACAACTGTGGCGTATAAATTAATTCAAATGGTCATAAGTTTTTAAAATCGAAGTCCATTTGTTCACAGACAAGAAAAATATGGAGACAGACAAAATGTCCACAGCGTCATCAGTGACGGAGAGACGGCCGTTATTGCAGGCGCTCGTGATCGAAAGACGAATACTCTTCGGCTGCACTATCTTTGTTGGCCTTTGCACTTTTGTCTGGATTGGGGCTGTGTGCTCTGAGAAGTGGGTAGTCGTTGATGCGCAACCAGGTAAGACAAATATGTAATCGAGATCTTAGGCTGGTTTCACAGCTATGCGTACGGTCCGTACGGACTGTCCGCCTGCAGGTCATCCGCATGCGTAGAATCCGCAGTGCTCTGAATCGAGTATTTAATTTAGTGCGGATATTCATGGACAACAGTCGCCTACAATGACTGCACGGGTGGCTTGTGCGAAGTTTACACGGAGAGTGTTCCGTACGGAGCAATCCACGTCACCATAAAACAATATTCTAACGTGTTACTCCGCTCCAGTGCTCCGCGCGGACGAACCGCAGATAAATCCGCACCGCTCTGAAACCAGCCTTAGGTTTTCACAGTCGCTGCATGTTGGCAATGCAACTATTTTTAACCGACTTCAAAGGAAGAGATACCTCGACATTTGTCATTCGATTTCGATGATTTTTTTTGTGGCAAAGGGGTTACCTCAGTAGTGTTTCCATTCAAAATTTGAACAAAATATTGTACCTGTAAGGGTGGCAAATTAGAGGATAAATCCAGTTTAATGGATTTCAACCATTTTCCGGTTAACGGTTTCAATAGAACTTTGCCAATACAACTAATCCCACAAATTTTAAGTCTTTTTTTAATAAAAAAGATATAATTATTTTTACTATTTAGCTATACAGTATAAATATATAGCCCCGTCATCTTGGAACCTGTAAAAAGCCCGAAACGTTGGTTATTTTGAAAAAATAAATAGTACACACGATTTAGATGAAACAAAAATTGTTTAATTTCGTACAATATGTAATATTACAACATATATACACCAGTGAGCATATATGTATAATACAACATCATTGATATATAGGTATAGAGTTATTTTTAACGCTTCCCGCCTCCTGTTATTAATAAAAATAATTTTGGTAGTGGGTGCTTTCTTTTGCTACTACACCGAGTTATCACCATTTAGAGTGTCAATCTATTTAAATATTTTTATTTTTGTGTGAAAGTAGAATCTGATGAATTGTTAAAAGCATGGACTAAATCTTGTTGTTTATCATGTTAGTAATATAGTCATGCGAGATAACATTTTACAAATAACCTTGTATACTGTACTGCACACATGAAATCACTTAAATTCACATTAAAACACTAGTATTCAAAGTATCCAAAAACACACCGAACATTTGAGTAAAAATCATCGAATATATAACCAGAAATAGAGACGAAATATCATTTAATTTGTTTGAAGACTATTCTGCCAAATTTTTACTGTGACAACTGCGCTCCGATTGGTCAGCGCGAATTTGAAACAATTTACGGGTGTCGTCAATTGTTTCACTTCAAATCGACCAGTTTAACTTCAGCTTTGCTATAATTGACGAAAATTGAAAAATCACATATTTATATTTAATTACCGATTAAATGTGATTCCATTAGTTTTGTAATTAGATATTTTGCTGTTTTTCCCACACCACCGAATGAAACAGCCCCCATTGTTAGAGATATTATCTTTATTACAATAAATACAGAATATTTTTGGAATATACGGAGACGTACACACAGGTCAGTTGTTGACGCTGTACTATTTCAGTTTTCTAATTTGTGATTTCGAGAACGAACGAGAGTCAATATTTAAAAGTTATATAAAGCCCATTTATGTGATGAGTTGCCATGGATGGATGGCCTTTATTTCGTCGATATCTCTGGTTATATACTCGATGCTAAAATTCAAGCATTTACAAAGCTTCTAAAGGAACTTTTGACTGAAACTGAAAGCCGTCAGAGAACAATTGAAAGTGTACTTTAAAATCATTGATTTTAAACACAAGAAACTGGCAAAATGTCCCTTAATTTCATTTTGTTGTGACAGTTTTGTTTAAATTCAATATTGTACATTTACAACAATTAAGAAACAACTTTGTGTAATTCGGATTTTGAAGAGTTACTTGTTGTCATGTTGTCCGAGAATGAGTTCTTCGACTGTGGAAAATAAGGTTGTTTCTCTCTCTCTCTATCTCAAGCCTGAGTGAAGAAAAACTTTCATAGATTTCTCATAGATAGCGCTACGGCAAAAAAGTAGTTAAAAACCAAAAACAAAGGTCAGCAACAAGCACATGGAAAAATTTATAAGTTCTGCTGGTGGTCGTAAAAGCGCTGGTTGGAGTCCAACAGCATCGATAGTACAGTTTTGCAGAGGCCAGGAAATAAGGGTTTGCTGGATAATTAGGTAGGATTCTTATTCAGAGTAATATTACATCACATCTCCTTCATATTCACACACTGGCTTTTACATATTCTCAAAGTAATGCGTCCAAATTAACACCCTTGATAAGAAATTTAACATAAATGGAAAGTTTTGATATCTCCTGAATAAATGCATCGATATTACTTTTAATTTTAATGAACATTGTTTTTACCTTTTTTGTTATATATCTTGTTCTCTTTAGTTTTGTATTATTTTCTCACATTGTTAGATAAAAGCATTATATTAGCCTCGGCGGGAACGGGGATTGCTTGCCTCGTCTTAATACATGGCCTCGCTGGCGCTCGTCCTTGTAACTCATACTCCTCCAGCAATCCTTTACTTCCCGGCCTCTTCAATAATGTACTATTGCTTTGTTTTCGATCTTTGTATTAATAACAATACAATCTTGTTTTCTTCACATTTCCGCGCCCATCGTAATAATAACAAAAGACTATCTTCTCCTCTGCTCTTTGGTCGACAATGACTGAAAGAAGCCTGGTGCCTCTTCCATTTAGGCAAATCTCGTGTAGCGAATGAAAACACGATAATTTTTTTGTCTATTTTAATTCAACACATAAAATAACCACATAAATAAGTGCCACGCTTGCCAGGCGAACTTCGCACGGTAAACACGTTTATAATTCGCTGTAAATATAAATTCAGAGGCTGAAATCACTTTTCACCAGGTGGACGGCCTAACTAAACAGTCAAACGTTTGTATACCGATAAAAAAAAATCTAAATATCTTTCGTGATAAAAAAGTAGTAGCAGTAGAGCTCCTCGTGAAAGAACTATAATGGTAACGTTGATTTTCATAAATAAAATTTTCAAAGGTTTAAATATTTATTTAATAAGCCCCTTTAAACATAGACAATAACTTTCAATAACAAGACAGCTCTGTAATCAACTAAACTGACCAAATTCCCATACAATACACGTAAGCGGGTTCATGTCCTGTACCAAAATAGACTACCGGCCGGCCATTCACCCTACTGCAGTACAGTCCTAATTAAAAATTATCGCTCACACGTGTGTTTTTACTCCCCAAGCTTAAGAAATGGTGACATTTTATTTGTACTAATATACACGGTGTTAAAAAATGAACCTAAAGTTTTTTGGGGTGACTTTATCGATGATACTAAACATTTTTCCTCAACATATCAATCATCATTAACCCATTTAAACATTCCACTGCTGGGCGCGTGTCCCCTGCAAGGGTTTAGTTGGAGACTTCACATGTTTTCCGAGAGTTGTGAACCTTCTTCAATGTACAGATTTATTCACAATGTTTTCCTACACCTAAAATTTAATATAAGTTTTAGATTAAATTTCACAATTTCGAAAACTCAGAGGTGCGAGCCCGGATTCGAACCCACGATATCTATTTAAGAGACGGTAGTGACCTACCGACCGTATCGTCCCCATAGGCTGTCACGGCTTAATAAACCAATAGCCAATGGTTTTTTCCTAAATTTAACATATTGTTTTTCCATAAGGAAAAAATCACATATTGTATATGTGTTCTTCAGCTGCCAGTAACGTGATTGGTGTCACCACGTAAAATTACAACCGTAATTTTTGTAACATCTATGGTATAATATACAAAAAAAAAGATCTTAATTTACTACTGCAAACCTTACAGCCGTTGCGGTCAAAGAGAAATTGAAGAAACATTGTTTTACGCGGTCGCTAGACACTACTGTCAGTGTAAACATATGGTGCACATCCCATACAGAATGTAGCGGATATAATAAAAAGGTCTACAATTATCGCGAAATAATTATACACACATACATACATTATACCTGCTACACACCCTTTCCCTTCAAGGTAGGCAGACACAGACAGACAGACAACAACCTCCCATTTGCTACGGTCCTGATACACGCTAGTCGATTATGGATACCTCTGACCAGGGGCTCTACACTCGGAGCATGAAATTATATAGTTACGGCCGTTTTCCTACCATGGATTCTTCCACGCGGCAACGCTCTCTTAACACACTATTCGGTAATTTATCCATTAGTGTTACTTATAACATTATTATATTAAGATAATAAAGACGTGGAAGCCTAAATGTTCGACCTACTGCCTTTCAAGCAGAAGCCATGAGTTCGAATCTGGGCTCGAACCTCTGAGTTTTTCGGAATTTATGTGCCAAATTTTATTTGAAATTTACCATGAGCATTTTGACAAAAGAAAATATCGTGAAGAAACCTGTACTTCGAAGAAATTCACAGCCTTCGGGAAACATGTGATAAATGGGGTGATGATGTAATAATCACGATGACATAATTATACGAAATAATTGTAGTCTTAAGTTAGCAAAATTTTTTTATCAAGAATTTTCAAATAATTTTATATTTTCTGTTATAGTCGGCAGCACGTTTAATTTACACTTAAAGTTTAAATTTAACTTTGGACTTACGATGAGAATGGTTCAAAACCCAAAGTAAAAACGGGTTATTTGTAAGGTCACGAGACTAATTATAGTTTTTGACCTTTTTTGCCACGTTTATAGATCCTTTCATCCTTTATACACCCTTCCATGCTTTAAAGGTCCTTTCACCATTAATAGGCCTGTCTATCCCTATATATACATAGTTTGAATCCATTGCACTAGGAATCTACCAAAGATGATATGTTTTACTATCACGTTTTAGTAGTGCGCCCCTAAATGACAATAATAAATTATATGCGGAATTAAATTCCTAGCGAGCAGCAGTGGTATGTAAATGTCATTTCATGCAGAACATTTTTGGTATAGCTTCATAATGAAGCTCATGGTGTCTATAAT